AATTTTATGACCATTAAAGCGCTTTTCGTCAAAAAAAAATTTTCAAAAAAATTTAATTTTTCTTAGGCAGACTATTTTATTGCAATTTCTTGCACAAAATACACCTAAAAGTGTAGAAAAAAATTGACAGCCCGATCCGAGTAGAGGAACACCAATTTTATGACCATTAAAGCGATTTTCGTCAAAAAAAAATTTTCAAAAAAATTCAATTTTTCTTAGGCAGACTATTTTATTGCAATTTCTTGCACAAAATACACCTAAAAGTGTAGAAAAAAATTGACAGCCTGATCCGAGTAGAGGAACACCAATTTTATGACCATTAAAGCGATTTTCGTCAAAAAAAATTTTCAAAAAAATTCAAATTTTTCTTAGGCAGACTATTTTATTGCAATTTCTTGCACAAAATACACCTAAAAGTGTAGAAAAAAATTGACAGCCCGATCCGAGTAGAGGAACACCAATTTTTATGACCATTAAAGCGATTTTCGTCAAAAAAAAATTTTCAAAAAAATTCAATTTTTCTTAGGCAGACTATTTTATTGCAATTCCTTTCACAAAGTATGCCTAAAAGTGTAGAAAAAAATTGACAGCCCGATCCGAGTAGAGGAACACCAATTTTATGACCATTAAAGCGCTTTTCGTCAAAAAAAAATTTTCAAAAAAATTTAATTTTTCTTAGGCAGACTATTTTATTGCAATTTCTTGCACAAAATATACCTTAAAGTGTAGAAAAAAATTGACAGCCTGATCCGAGTAGAGGAACACCAATTTTATGACCATTAAAGCGATTTTCGTCAAAAAAAATTTTCAAAAAAATTCAATTTTTCTTAGGCAGACTATTTTATTGCAATTTCTTGCACAAAATACACCTAAAAGTGTAGAAAAAAATTGACAGCTCGATCCGAGTAGAGGAACACCAATTTTATGACCATTAAAGCGATTTTCGTCAAAAAAAATTTTCAAAAAAATTCAATTTTTCTTAGGCAGACTATTTTATTGCAATTTCTTGCACAAAATACACCTAAAAGTGTAGAAAAAAATTGACAGCTTGATCCGAGTAGAGGAACACCAATTTTATGACCATTAAAGCGATTTTCGTCAAAAAAAAATTTTCAAAAAAATTTAATTTTTCTTAGGCAGACTATTTTATTGCATTTTCTTGCACAAAATACACCTAAAAGTGTAGGAAAAAATTGACAGTCTGATCCGAGTAGAGGAACACCAATTTTATGACCATTAAAGCGATTTTCGTCAAAAAAACATTTTCAAAAAAATTCAATTTTTCTTAGGCAGACTATTTTATTGCAATTTCTTGCACAAAATACACCTAAAAGTGTAGAAAAAATTAACAGCCTGATCCGAGTAGAGGAACACCAATTTTATGACCATTAAAGCGATTTTCGTCAAAAAAACATTTTCAAAAAAATTCAATTTTTCTTAGGCAGACTATTTTATTGCAATTTCTTGCACAAAATACACCTAAAAGTGTAGAAAAAATTGACAGCCCGATCCGAGTAGAGGAACACCAATTTTATGACCATTAAAGCGATTTTCGTCAAAAAAAAATTTTCAAAAAAATTCAATTTTTCTTAGGCAGACTATTTTATTGCAATTTCTTGCACAAAATACACCTTAAAGTGTAGAAAAAAATTGACAGCCCGATCCGAGTAGAGGAACACCAATTTTATGACCATTAAAGCGATTTTCGTCAAAAAAACATTTTCAAAAAAATTCAATTTTTCTTAGGCAGACTATTTTATTGCAATTTCTTGCACAAAATATACCTAAAAGTGTAGAAAAAAATTGACAGCCCGATCCGAGTAGAGGAACACCAATTTTATGACCATTAAAGCGATTTTCGTCAAAAAAAAATTTTCAAAAAAATTTAATTTTTCTTAGGCAGACTATTTTATTGCAATTTCTTGCACAAAATACACCTAAAAGTGTAGAAAAAAATTGACAGCCCGATCCGAGTAGAGGAACACCAATTTTATGACCATTAAAGCGATTTTCGTCAAAAAAAAATTTTCAAAAAAATTCAATTTTTCTTAGGCAGACTATTTTATTGCAATTTCTTGCACAAAATACACCTAAAAGTGTAGAAAAAAATTGACAGCCTGATCCGAGTAGAGGAACACCAATTTTATGACCATTAAAGCGATTTTCGTCAAAAAAAATTTTCAAAAAAATTCAATTTTTCTTAGGCAGACTATTTTATTGCAATTTCTTGCACAAAATACACCTAAAAGTGTAGAAAAAAATTGACAGCCCGATCCGAGTAGAGGAACACCAATTTTTATGACCATTAAAGCGATTTTCGTCAAAAAAAAATTTTCAAAAAAATTCAATTTTTCTTAGGCAGACTGTTTTATTGCAATCTCTTGCACAAAATATACCTTAAAGTGTAGAAAAAAATTGACAGCCCGATCCGAGTAGAGGAACACCAATTTTATGACCATTAAAGCGCTTATCGTCAAAAAAAAATTTTTTAAAAAAATTTAATTTTTCTTAGGCAGACTATTTTTTTGCAATTTCTTGCACAAAATACACCAAAAAGTGTAGAAAAAATGAACAGCCCGATCCGAGTAGAGGAACACCAATTTTATGACCATTAAAGCGATTCTCGTCAAAAAAAAATTTTTAAAAAAATTTAATTTTTCTTAGGCAGACTGTTTTATTGCAATTTCTTGCACAAAATATACCTTAAAGTGTAGAAAAAAATTGACAGCCCGATCCGAGTAGAGGAACACCAATTTTATGACCATTAAAGCGATTTTCGTCAAAAAAACATTTTCAAAAAAATTCAATTTTTCTTAGGCAGACTATTTTATTGCAATTTCTTGCACAAAAAACACCTAAAAGTGTAGAAAAAATTGACAGCCCGATCCGAGTAGAGGAACACCAATTTTATGACCATTAAAGCGATTTTCGTCACAAAAAAATTTTCAAAAAAATTCAATTTTTCTTAGGCAGACTGTTTTATTGCAATCTCTTGCACAAAATATACCTTAAAGTGTAGAAAAAAATTGACAGCCTGATCCGAGTAGAGGAACACCAATTTTATGACCATTAAAGCGATTTTCGTCAAAAAAAAATTTTCAAAAAAATTCAATTTTTCTTAGGCAGACTATTTTATTGCAATGTCTTGCACAAAATATACCTTAAAGTGTAGAAAAAAATTGACAGCCCGATTCGAGTAGAGGAACACCAATTTTATGACCATTAAAACGCTTTTCGTCAAAAAAAAATTTTCAAAAAAATTCAATTTTTCTTAGGCAGACTATTTTATTGCAATTTCTTGCACAAAATATACCTTAAAGTGTAGAAAAAAATTGACAGCCCGATCCGAGTAGAGGAACACCAATTTTATAACCATTAAAGCGATTGTCGTCAAAAAAACATTTTCAAAAATATTTAATTTTTCTTAGGCAGACTATTTTATTGCAATTTCTTGCACAAAATACACCTAAAAGTGTAGAAAAAATTGACAGCCCGATCCGAGTAGAGGAACACCAATTTTATGACCATTAAAGCGCTTTTCGTAAAAAAAAAATTTTTAAAAAAATTTAATTTTTCTTAGGCAGACTATTTTTTTGCAATTTCTTGCACAAAATACACCTAAAAGTGAAGAAAAAATGAACAGCCCGATCCGAGTAGAGGAACACCAATTTTATGACCATTAAAGCGATTCTCGTCAAAAAAAAATTTTTAAAAAATTTAATTTTTCTTAGGCAGACTATTTTATTGCAATTTCTTGCACAAAATATACCTTAAAGTGTAGAAAAAAATTGACAGCCCGATCCGAGTAGAGGAACACCAATTTTATGACCATTAAAGCGATTTTCGTCAAAAAAACATTTTCAAAAAAATTCAATTTTTCTTAGGCAGACTATTTTATTGCAATTTCTTGCACAAAAAACACCTAAAAGTGTAGAAAAAATTTGACAGCCCGATCCGAGTAGAGGAACACCAATTTTATGAATATTAAAGCGATTTTCGTCAACAAAAAATTTTCAAAAAAATTTAATTTTTCTTAGGCAGATTATTTTATTGCAATTTCTTGCACAAAATACACCTAAAAGTGTAGAAAAAAATTGACAGCCTGATCCGAGTAGAGGAACACCAATTTTATGACCATTAAAGCGATTTTCGTCAAAAAAAATTTTCAAAAAAATTCAAATTTTTCTTAGGCAGACTATTTTATTGCAATTTCTTGCACAAAATACACCTAAAAGTGTAGAAAAAAATTGACAGCTCGATCCGAGTAGAGGAACACCAATTTTATGACCATTAAAGCGATTTTCGTCAAAAAAAAATTTTCAAAAAAATTCAATTTTTCTTAGGCAGACTATTTTATTGCAATTTCTTGCACAAAATATACCTTAAAGTGTAGAAAAAAATTGACAGCCTGATCCGAGTAGAGGAACACCAATTTTATGACCATTAAAGCGATTTTCGTCAAAAAAAATTTTCAAAAAAATTCAAATTTTTCTTAGGCAGACTATTTTATTGCAATTTCTTGCACAAAATACACCTAAAAGTGTAGAAAAAAATTGACAGCCCGATCCGAGTAGAGGAACACCAATTTTATGACCATTAAAGCGATTTTCGTCAAAAAAAAATTTTCAAAAAAATTCAATTTTTCTTAGGCAGTCTATTTTATTGCAATTTCTTGCACAAAATATACCTTAAAGTGTAGAAAAAAATTGACAGCCCGATCCGAGTAGAGGAACACCAATTTTATGACCATTAAAGCGATTTTCGTCAAAAAAACATTTTCAAAAAAATTCAATTTTTCTTAGGCAGACTATTTTATTGCAATTTCTTGCACAAAATACACCTAAAAGTGTAGAAAAAATTGACAGCCCGATCCGAGTATAGGAACACTAATTTTATGACCATTAAAGCGCTTATCGTAAAAAAAAAATTTTTTTAAAAAATTTAATTTTTCTTAGGCAGACTATTTTTTTGCAATTTCTTGCACAAAATACACCAAAAAGTGTAGAAAAAAATTAACAGCCCGATCCGAGTAGAGGAACACCAATTTTATGACCATTAAAGCGATTTTCGTCAAAAAAAAATTTTCAAAAAAATTCAATTTTTCTTAGGCAGACTATTTTATTGCAATTTCTTGCACAAAATACACCTAAAAGTGTAGAAAAAATTGACAGCCCGATCCGAGTAGAGGAACACCAATTTTATGACCATTAAAGCGCTTATCGTCAAAAAAAAATTTTTTTAAAAAATTTAATTTTTCTTAGGCAGACTATTTTTTTGCAATTTCTTGCACAAAATACACCAAAAAGTGTAGAAAAAATGAACAGCCCGATCCGAGTAGAGGAACACCAATTTTATGACCATTAAAGCGCTTTTCGTCAAAAAAAAATTTTCAAAAAAATTTAATTTTTCTTAGGCAGACTATTTTATTGCAATTTCTTGCACAAAATACACCTAAAAGTGTAGAAAAAAATTAACAGCCCGATCCGAGTAGAGGAACACCAATTTTATGACCATTAAAGCGATTTTCGTCAAAAAAAAATTTTCAAAAAAATTCAATTTTTCTTAGGCAGACTATTTTATTGCAATTTCTTGCACAAAATACACCTAAAAGTGTAGAAAAAAATTGACAGCCTGATCCGAGTAGAGGAACACCAATTTTATGACCATTAAAGCGATTTTCGTCAAAAAAAATTTTCAAAAAAATTCAAATTTTTCTTAGGCAGACTATTTTATTGCAATTTCTTGCACAAAATACACCTAAAAGTGTAGAAAAAAATTGACAGCCCGATCCGAGTAGAGGAACACCAATTTTTATGACCATTAAAGCGATTTTCGTCAAAAAAAAATTTTCAAAAAAATTCAATTTTTCTTAGGCAGACTATTTTACTGCAATTCCTTTCACAAAGTATGCCTAAAAGTGTAGAAAAAAATTGACAGCCCGATCCGAGTAGAGGAACACCAATTTTATGACCATTAAAGCGCTTTTCGTCAAAAAAAAATTTTCAAAAAAATTTAATTTTTCTTAGGCAGACTATTTTATTGCAATTTCTTGCACAAAATATACCTTAAAGTGTAGAAAAAAATTGACAGCCTGATCCGAGTAGAGGAACACCAATTTTATGACCATTAAAGCGATTTTCGTCAAAAAAAATTTTCAAAAAAATTCAAATTTTTCTTAGGCAGACTATTTTATTGCAATTTCTTGCACAAAATACACCTAAAAGTGTAGAAAAAAATTGACAGCTCGATCCGAGTAGAGGAACACCAATTTTATGACCATTAAAGCGATTTTCGTCAAAAAAACATTTTCAAAAAAATTCAATTTTTCTTAGGCAGACTATTTTATTGCAATTTCTTGCACAAAATACACCTAAAAGTGTAGAAAAAAATTGACAGCTCGATCCGAGTAGAGGAACACCAATTTTATGACCATTAAAGCGATTCTCGTCAAAAAAAAATTTTCAAAAAAATTTAATTTTTCTTAGGCAGACTATTTTATTGCATTTTCTTGCACAAAATACACCTAAAAGTGTAGGAAAAAATTAACAGTCTGATCCGAGTAGAGGAACACCAATTTTATGACCATTAAAGCGATTTTCGTCAAAAAAACATTTTCAAAAAAATTCAATTTTTCTTCGGCAGACTATTTTATTGCAATTTCTTGCACAAAATACACCTAAAAGTGTAGAAAAAATTAACAGCCTGATCCGAGTAGAGGAACACCAATTTTATGACCATTAAAGCGATTTTCGTCAAAAAAACATTTTCAAAAAAATTCAATTTTTCTTAGGCAGACTATTTTATTGCAATTTCTTGCACAAAATACACCTAAAAATGTAGAAAAAATTGACAGCCCGATCCGAGTAGAGGAACACCAATTTTATGACCATTAAAGCGATTTTCGTCAAAAAAAAATTTTCAAAAAAATTTAATTTTTCTTAGGCAGACTATTTTATTGCAATTTCTTGTACAAAATATACCTTAAAGTGTAGAAAAAAATTGACAGCCCGATCCGAGTAGAGGAACACCAATTTTATGACCATTAAAGCGATTTTCGTCAAAAAAACATTTTCAAAAAAATTCAATTTTTCTTAGGCAGACTATTTTACTGCAATTCCTTTCACAAAGTATGCCTAAAAGTGTAGAAAAAAATTGACAGCCCGATCCGAGTAGAGGAACACCAATTTTATGACCATTAAAGCGCTTTTCGTCAAAAAAAAATTTTCAAAAAAATTTAATTTTTCTTAGGCAGACTATTTTATTGCAATTTCTTGCACAAAATACACCTAAAAGTGTAGAAAAAAATTAACAGCCCGATCCGAGTAGAGGAACACCAATTTTATGACCATTAAAGCGATTTTCGTCAAAAAAAAATTTTCAAAAAAATTCAATTTTTCTTAGGCAGACTATTTTATTGCAATTTCTTGCACAAAATACACCTAAAAGTGTAGAAAAAAATTGACAGCCTGATCCGAGTAGAGGAACACCAATTTTATGACCATTAAAGCGATTTTCGTCAAAAAAAATTTTCAAAAAAATTCAAATTTTTCTTAGGCAGACTATTTTATTGCAATTTCTTGCACAAAATACACCTAAAAGTGTAGAAAAAAATTGACAGCCCGATCCGAGTAGAGGAACACCAATTTTTATGACCATTAAAGCGATTTTCGTCAAAAAAAAATTTTCAAAAAAATTCAATTTTTCTTAGGCAGACTATTTTACTGCAATTCCTTTCACAAAGTATGCCTAAAAGTGTAGAAAAAAATTGACAGCCCGATCCGAGTAGAGGAACACCAATTTTATGACCATTAAAGCGCTTTTCGTCAAAAAAAAATTTTCAAAAAAATTTAATTTTTCTTAGGCAGACTATTTTATTGCAATTTCTTGCACAAAATATACCTTAAAGTGTAGAAAAAAATTGACAGCCTGATCCGAGTAGAGGAACACCAATTTTATGACCATTAAAGCGATTTTCGTCAAAAAAAATTTTCAAAAAAATTCAAATTTTTCTTAGGCAGACTATTTTATTGCAATTTCTTGCACAAAATACACCTAAAAGTGTAGAAAAAAATTGACAGCTCGATCCGAGTAGAGGAACACCAATTTTATGACCATTAAAGCGATTTTCGTCAAAAAAACATTTTCAAAAAAATTCAATTTTTCTTAGGCAGACTATTTTATTGCAATTTCTTGCACAAAATACACCTAAAAGTGTAGAAAAAAATTGACAGCTCGATCCGAGTAGAGGAACACCAATTTTATGACCATTAAAGCGATTCTCGTCAAAAAAAAATTTTCAAAAAAATTTAATTTTTCTTAGGCAGACTATTTTATTGCATTTTCTTGCACAAAATACACCTAAAAGTGTAGGAAAAAATTAACAGTCTGATCCGAGTAGAGGAACACCAATTTTATGACCATTAAAGCGATTTTCGTCAAAAAAACATTTTCAAAAAAATTCAATTTTTCTTCGGCAGACTATTCTATTGCAATTTCTTGCACAAAATACACCTAAAAGTGTAGAAAAAATTAACAGCCTGATCCGAGTAGAGGAACACCAATTTTATGACCATTAAAGCGATTTTCGTCAAAAAAACATTTTCAAAAAAATTCAATTTTTCTTAGGCAGACTATTTTATTGCAATTTCTTGCACAAAATACACCTAAAAGTGTAGAAAAAATTGACAGCCCGATCCGAGTAGAGGAACACCAATTTTATGACCATTAAAGCGATTTTCGTCAAAAAAAAATTTTCAAAAAATTTAATTTTTCTTAGGCAGACTATTTTATTGCAATTTCTTGTACAAAATATACCTTAAAGTGTAGAAAAAAATTGACAGCCCGATCCGAGTAGAGGAACACCAATTTTATGACCATTAAAGCGATTTTCGTCAAAAAAACATTTTCAAAAAAATTCAATTTTTCTTAGGCAGACTATTTTATTGCAATTTCTTGCACAAAATACACCTAAAAGTGTAGAAAAAAATTGACAGCTCGATCCGAGTAGAGGAACACCAATTTTATGACCATTAAAGCGATTCTCGTCAAAAAAAAATTTTCAAAAAAATTTAATTTTTCTTAGGCAGACTATTTTATTGCATTTTCTTGCACAAAATACACCTAAAAGTGTAGGAAAAAATTAACAGCCTGATCCGAGTAGAGGAACACCAATTTTATGACCATTAAAGCGATTTTCGTCAAAAAAACATTTTCAAAAAAATTCAATTTTTCTTCGGCAGACTATTCTATTGCAATTTCTTGCACAAAATACACCTAAAAGTGTAGAAAAAATTAACAGCCTGATCCGAGTAGAGGAACACCAATTTTATGACCATTAAAGCGATTTTCGTCAAAAAAACATTTTCAAAAAAATTCAATTTTTCTTAGGTAGACTATTTTATTGCAATTTCTTGCACAAAATACACCTAAAAGTGTAGAAAAAATTGACAGCCCGATCCGAGTAGAGGAACACCAATTTTATGACCATTAAAGCGATTTTCGTCAAAAAAAAATTTTCAAAAAAATTTAATTTTTCTTAGGCAGACTATTTTATTGCAATTTCTTGCACAAAATACACCTAAAAGTGTAGAAAAAAATTGACAGCCCGATCCGAGTAGAGGAACACCAATTTTATGACCATTAAAGCGCTTATCGTCAAAAAAAAATTTTTTAAAAAAATTTAATTTTTCTTAGGCAGACTATTTTTTTGCAATTTCTTGCACAAAATACACCAAAAAGTGTAGAAAAAAATTAACAGCCCGATGCGAGTAGAGGAACACCAATTTTATGACCATTAAAGCGATTTTCTCAAAAAAAAATTTTCAAAAAAATTCAATTTTTCTTAGGCAGACTATTTTATTGCAATTTCTTGCACAAAATACACCTAAAAGTGTAGAAAAAATTGACAGCCCGATCCGAGTAGAGGAACACCAATTTTATGACCATTAAAGCGCTTATCGTCAAAAAAAAATTTTTTAAAAAAATTTAATTTTTCTTAGGCAGACTATTTTTTTGCAATTTCTTGCACAAAATACACCAAAAAGTGAAGAAAAAATGAACAGCCCGATCCGAGTAGAGGAACACCAATTTTATGACCATTAAAGCGATTCTCGTCAAAAAAAAATTTTTTAAAAAATTTAATTTTTCTTAGGCAGACTGTTTTATTGCAATTTCTTGCACAAAATATACCTTAAAGTGTAGAAAAAAATTGACAGCCCGATCCGAGTAGAGGAACACCAATTTTATGACCATTAAAGCGATTTTCGTCAAAAAAACATTTTCAAAAAAATTCAATTTTTCTTAGGCAGACTATTTTATTGCAATTTCTTGCACAAAAAACACCTAAAAGTGTAGAAAAAATTGACAGCCCGATCCGAGTAGTGGAACACCAATTTTATGACCATTAAAGCGATTCTCGTCAAAAAAAAATTTTCAAAAAAATTTAATTTTTCTTAGGCAGTCTATTTTATTGCAATTTCTTGCACAAAATACACCTAAAAGTGTAGAAAAAAATTGACAGCCTGATCCGAGTAGAGGAACACCAATTTTATGACCATTAAAGCGATTTTCGTCAAAAAAAATTTTCAAAAAAATTCAAATTTTTCTTAGGCAGACTATTTTATTGCAATTTCTTGCACAAAATACACCTAAAAGTGTAGAAAAAAATTGACAGCTCGATCCGAGTAGAGGAACACCAATTTTATGACCATTAAAGCGATTTTCGTCAAAAAAAAATTTTCAAAAAAATTCAATTTTTCTTAGGCAGACTATTTTATTGCAATTTCTTGCACAAAATATACCTTAAAGTGTAGAAAAAAATTGACAGCCTGATCCGAGTAGAGGAACACCAATTTTATGACCATTAAAGCGATTTTCGTCAAAAAAAATTTTCAAAAAAATTCAAATTTTTCTTAGGCAGACTATTTTATTGCAATTTCTTGCACAAAATACACCTAAAAGTGTAGAAAAAAATTGACAGCCCGATCCGAGTAGAGGAACACCAATTTTATGACCATTAAAGCGATTTTCGTCAAAAAAAAATTTTCAAAAAAATTCAATTTTTCTTAGGCAGTCTATTTTATTGCAATTTCTTGCACAAAATATACCTTAAAGTGTAGAAAAAAATTGACAGCCCGATCCGAGTAGAGGAACACCAATTTTATGACCATTAAAGCGATTTTCGTCAAAAAAACATTTTCAAAAAAATTCAATTTTTCTTAGGCAGACTATTTTATTGCAATTTCTTGCACAAAATACACCTAAAAGTGTAGAAAAAATTGACAGCCCGATCCGAGTAGAGGAACACCAATTTTATGACCATTAAAGCGATTTTCGTCAAAAAAAAATTTTCAAAAAAATTCAATTTTTCTTAGGCAGACTGTTTTATTGCAATTTCTTGCACAAAATATACCTTAAAGTGTAGAAAAAAATTGACAGCCTGATCCGAGTAGAGGAACACCAATTTTATGACCATTAAAGCGATTTTCGTCAAAAAAAAATTTTCAAAAAAATTCAATTTTTCTTAGGCAGACTATTTTATTGCAATGTCTTGCACAAAATATACCTTAAAGTGTAGAAAAAAATTGACAGCCCGATACGAGTAGAGGAACACCAATTTTATGACCATGAAAGCGCTTTTCGTCAAAAAAAAATTTTCAAAAAAATTCAATTTTTCTTAGGCAGACTATTTTATTGCAATTTCTTGCACAAAATATACCTTAAAGTGTAGAAAAAAATTGACAGCCCGATCCGAGTAGAGGAACACCAATTTTATAACCATTAAAGCGATTGTCGTCAAAAAAACATTTTCAAAAATATTTAATTTTTCTTAGGCAGACTATTTTATTGCAATTTCTTGCACAAAATACACCTAAAAGTGTAGAAAAAAATTGACAGCCCGATCCGAGTATAGGAACACTAATTTTATGACCATTAAAGCGCTTATCGTAAAAAAAAATTTTTTTAAAAAATTTAATTTTTCTTAGGCAGACTATTTTTTTGCAATTTCTTGCACAAAATACACCAAAAAGTGTAGAAAAAAATTAACAGCCCGATCCGAGTAGAGGAACACCAATTTTATGACCATTAAAGCGATTTTCGTCAAAAAAATTCAATTTTTCTTAGGCAGACTATTTTATTGCAATTTCTTGCACAAAATACACCTAAAAGTGTAGAAAAAATTGACAGCCCGATCCGAGTAGAGGAACACCAATTTTATGACCATTAAAGCGCTTATCGTCAAAAAAAAATTTTTTTAAAAAATTTAATTTTTCTTAGGCAGACTATTTTTTTGCAATTTCTTGCACAAAATACACCAAAAAGTGTAGAAAAAATGAACAGCCCGATCCGAGTAGAGGAACACCAATTTTATGACCATTAAAGCGCTTTTCGTCAAAAAAAAATTTTCAAAAAAATTTAATTTTTCTTAGGCAGACTATTTTATTGCAATTTCTTGCACAAAATACACCTAAAAGTGTAGAAAAAAATTAACAGCCCGATCCGAGTAGAGGAACACCAATTTTATGACCATTAAAGCGATTTTCGTCAAAAAAAAATTTTCAAAAAAATTCAATTTTTCTTA